CTGTTTTACCCTGCATGCTGGGTGATTGGCTTTCAGTGGCAGGTAGGGTCTGTAAGTTCATCTTGATTTTATTGATTTAAAAAATACTATTTAGAGTCATACCCCGCCAATGTAGAGCCAAGTCTCCTGCCTGTTCCTTTCTGTTAGCCGATGCAGCCTCCTCCAACATCTCACTTCATCCTAGTCCGTTCATTCCATTCTGATACCAAGCGTTTGAGGAGGATTTGGAATGCCACCCGTGTTGTATCAGATATCTGTGGCTTGGTGAACCCTCGTCCATCTAATCTTCCTATTAAAGGAGATTTTAATCCCCATTTGTGGGTCTAACCCTTTAGTTTATTTATACAAACATACATAAATACAAGTTATGACAAATATGCTCATTTAATCCTACCAAGCTTTTAAAGTATTTCCTATCCGGGACTGGGGATTTAGCTCAGCAGCATAAGCACCTGCCTTGCAAGCAGGCGGTCGTGAGTTCAATCCCTGGTACCGATAAAAAGGAAAAAGACAAAAAAAAAAAAAAACTAAAAAAAAAAAGTATTTCCTATCCTTTGTATATTATACAAAACTAATGTTTAAAAAAACTAGGTAACAACAACAAAAAGTTAGGTAATTTAACTTCCGGCTCTTTTACCCCTTCATGTTGCTTATGTATTTTTCAGAATTTTTCAAACCTTAGCTTCAGTTCCTAAAATTTTTAGTATCACACCAAAAGTTAGGGTAAAATAATTCCACACCAACATCCTAAGTACCCTCTCACTGTCACCACTAACACCACACACACACGGAGTTTGGAGTCAGCTCTAGAAGTATCAGTGGCCTAGCAACTGAAAGTGGATCATTTTCTCCTATGCAAAAATTGTCCATTGCTTTTTGCCATGGATTATGAAGGGATCATAGACTGTGCACAGAGATGGAGGAACTCTTATAAAACATTTCTTAAAAGGAGTAAATCTTTACTAAAATATAATTTATAAATAATTAATTGGTGATTCATTTGTCTGTCCCTCTGAATAATAATTGAGAATAAGAATGTGGGTCATTGTATATTTCAGATACGAATTATCCCAGAAAATGGCTTCATCTTTTGCATCCAGAGAAGCCATTTTTCATGATCTACAAAAAATTTAAAGTGTTCGTTTATTAGATATAGTAAGTCATGATATGCTGAAGTGTGGCCTGGTTGAGGTTTTGAATCTTAAGAACACTTCTAGCCAAGTTTCCAAAATACATTATCCTCATATCTGCTGTTTTGTGCTGTTTGTTGTTTGGCTTTTTTGAGACAGTGTCTCACTATATAGTGGTCCCTACTGGCCTTGAATGCACGGTGGAGCCTAGATTGGCCTCAAACTCATGACAGTCCTCCTGCCTTGGCCTTCCGAGTGCTGGAATTGCAAGCATGTTCCACCATGCCCAGCTGAATATTAGAGTCTTACTGCTTTCTGCTTCAAGGTCTTGGCTAAGTTATTTCACCTTTTTAGAGCTTTGTCCATAAATGAGAAGGCTAATCTGGGTAGCGTAAACTGAGGTTTCTTGCAGTGCCAGCATGTCTGATGACTATTCCATCATGCCTGGGCTGGTGTTTGTGTGGAGACTCAGCCTCCTGAACTGATGGGCAAGGCAGATCCTGAGATCCCTCAAGTCAGATCTGGGCTCATCTGGGCCTTATCCGTGACCAGGCAGGTTACACATTCTCAGTCACTGATATGCATCTCCCACTACTGCATTACTGTTTCCAAACCCAGAAATTTTCTTTGTTTTCTTTACTTTTTTTGTGTGTGTGGAAAATATTTGACAGTACTCTCTACAAATGTAAGCAACAGTTGCTGGCACTATTGTATCCTGTCCTCCTCTGTCCTACAGTCTAGTATTTGAGTACTTCCACACAGTGATGACAGTATAAATTATCTGTGTGAAGAGCCATTACTTTTAGGTTTGGTCAGAAAATAAACACCCCTAAATTTGAGAATTTTCCCCATGTTCACCCAGTCCCATTCTGTCTCATCACACAACACGCACTTTTTTACACTTTCGTGTGTTTTGCTAATGACTCATAAGGTAGTCTCTTGTTGAAGTACCCAGCTTGGCTGATCTCCTGTGCTACTCCCCCCACCAACCCAGAAGGAACAGATGCAGCAGGGAGCTTGAGAGGAAGCTGAGGCTGAGAGCCAGGGCTTAATAAAGCCCCTTCTCTGCTTGCAGTCACATTGGGAGAGCTGCAAGAGAAGGAAGGGCAGACTGCTAGAGGGCAGATGGGGAGGAGGAGAAGGAAAGGCTCAGAGGACATGGTGCCTGAGGGACTGTCCCAGAATGAGGGGGAATGTCTCCACCTTACAGATGAAGAGTTAGTGGATTGTACCAGGGTTACTACCTACACAGCTAAAAAGTCCAAATTCTGAAAGAGCGCCTGCCTGGTTTGTACCAAGTCAGTCTGCATCTTTATCTTTTACCCATTGCTTCACAGGGTTGCAAGTTTATGCATGTAAATGAAAGAAGCAAATTTTTGTTATATTTTGTTTTTTTAGTACTGGCCTGATGTATGTTAAGACAAGGATTCTAGAATTTATTTTATTTTATTTTATTTTATTTTATTTTATTTTTTTTTTTTTTGTCTTTTTCTTTTTTATTGGTACTGAGGATCGAACTCATGACTGCCTGCTTGCAAGGCAGGCGCTTATGCCACTGAGCTAAATCCCCAGCCGTACCTTTTTTTTTTTTTTTTTCTTTTTCGGATTCTAGAATTTATTTATGTGAGCTTATTTATTTATGTATATCCCTAGCTTTTCTAAAAGCTTTTATTTATTTATTCATTTTTTTTGTCTTTTTCATTTTTATCGGTACCAAGGATTGAACTCACCACTGCCTGCTTGGAAGGCAGATGCTTATGCCGCTGAGCTATATCCCCAGCTCCTAAAAGCTTTTATTTTAAGACAGGGTCTTGCTAAATTGCTTAGGCTGACCTAAACTTTTGCTTCTCCTGCCTCAGCCTCCTGCACAACTGGGACAAGTAAGTGCCACCACATCAGGCTTTACATTTTTTTTTTTTCAGTGAAAGAGAGTTGGGGCTGGGGATTTAGCTCAGCAGCATAAGCACCTGCCTTGCAAGTACGCAGTTGTGAGTTCGATCCCTGGTACTAATAAAAAAAAGAAAAAGACAAAAAAAAAAAAAAAAAAAAGAAAGAGTTAGGGTGATGAGTAAGACAAAAACTACTGTTCAGAAAGGAAGGTAGAATTTTAGGAAAACCATCTTGTTTCTGCCATTGTGCTGAAAATTGTTAAAAATGTCATGTACAGTGCAAGGTTAATGCCAACACAATGTATTTCTTTATGTGGTTGATTTCCAGTTGTTTGCTTCCTCTGCTTTTAAAAAGCTTCATTTTTTTCTTCTTTCTTTTAATCAATGTATGTCAGGTAAAAATAAGGAATATAATACATCCTCATATAATTTAAAGATGTCTATATTTCATTTATTCCAAAGATGGTAATTGTCTTCACATAAATAAAAATCTTTTTTGTGCAGTGTGTTGATGCTATCAAAGTAAATTATCTTATCAAGGCTCTAAAATCTAGTGTCTTGATTGTTCTGTGTAGTTATGTCACCTGAATTACAGATCACCCAAAATTTGATTCCTGCCTTTCAATGAACATGAATTCCTTTGTTGTTTATCTCAGTTGCCAAAAGCCTAAACAAAATTCATTAAAATATTGTATGTACATACTTAAGCTTTCAGTCACTTTTCTCAAACATTTCAATTTTAGTTTAACTGGGCCATAACTGGCCCATAACTGGGTCATAAAATGTATGTGACCACAGTCACAGGGTATGAGCTCTAAATTCTTTTCTTCCAATAAGATTCTGTGATTCATTATTTTATTTCCAGTTAATGCTCTGCCTTTGGTAGGGTAGAGGTGAATTGTGGGTAACTGATGATCAGAGCTAAAGGAATTGTTTGGAAGAAATTTTAATGTAACGTTGTCACAGATTAAATTACCCTACTGTGCCAAATCTGGTGGTTTCTGATGTTTTTTTAAGCCCTGGCAAAAGTCATCAACAGTAAGCCATTTTGCAGGGTTGTATATATTTTGTGAGATTTAACTTCAGAATAATTAAGAATATGAGCATTCACATAGTCATCATCCGAAAAATAATTGTCAAAGTTAACTTACATGAATGAGGCTGAATTGATTCTCTTGATAAATTATGAACTGTTTCTAAATACTAGTTTAAAAATAATAGAGTGTCCAGGAAGAGCGATGCATACCCAGAGACTTCTGTGCAAATATTTATGGCAGCATTATTTTCCATAGCTGACAACTGGGAAAAAGCAAATGTCTATCAACTGGTGAGTGGATCAGCGAAATGTGGTACATTCATACAGTGGAACACTACTCAGCAGTAAAGTAGAACAAACTACTCATACGTGCTTCAGCCTGGGTGACTCAAAAGCATCATGCTACATGAGGGAGATTAGACACAAAAGACCACACACTGTGTGGTTCCAGTTAAAATTGGAATTCTGGAAAAGGCAAAACTAGGAACAGGAGGCACCTCCATTGCTGCCAGGGCAGGAGGGTAAGAGGAAAGAATTCATTACAAAGGAGCATAGAGTATTTTTTCTTGAGGACGTTGGAAGTATTGTATATGCTTATTTCATTGGTAATCACATGAATGTGTACATTTGTCAAAATGTATTGAATTACACTTAAATTTGGTGACAGCTATTATATATAAATTGTACCTAAATTAAAAACAAGCAAACAAACAGGGCAGCGTCATGAATGTTTTTACAAAGTGACCACTTCACTTGGGGAAATAGCCCTTTTTAAACTTTGAATGTGGAAAATGTATCATTAAAACATGCTAACAGCATTTATTTTTATGGCTTACCTGTACAAAATATTGGCCTTCAAAATGTATTTGCCTTGAAAACAGTGAATGGTCCACATGGCTTTAACGACTCGTTGCACTTCTGCTCTCTCTTCTCTGCCTGACCTAGAAAAACTAATTGAGGGACTCAAGTCTCCTGACACCTCTCTTCTGCTCCCTGACCTCTTGCCTATGACAGATCCTTTTGGTAGCACTTCCGATGCTGTGATTGGTAATGTCATTTTTGTTTCTTCTGTCATGCATGATAAGTCAGTGCATTTTAGATTGATAAACTCCTGGTTTACAGATTTCTAGTGAATAGAACTGGAAAGGAGTGGAAGCACTTCTGGTGTTGGAGTTCTGTGTCATGCAAGCCCAGAAGCCACCACTGTTTAACTTCCTAATGAAATGCTTTTCTTTGCTCTCTGTCAGCGCAAAAGTATAATTTATGCCTTTTGGGCTATCCTGTGATTTCGAATGAGGTGGAAAAATTCATATTTAGTGGCAAAATCTTCATTTAAAAAGTTGTTTGATAGCCGGGCATGGGGGCACGTACCTTTAGTCCCACCACTCTGGGAGTAGGAAGCAGCAGAGTTGCAGGTTTGAGCCCACCCTGGACAAGTTGCTGATGCCCAACAACAAGACAGGTAAAACATCCAAGGCCTCTGCACTCTAGGAGGGTCTAATGGTTTTGGACAAAATGTCCTACAGCTCAGAAATGCCAGGAGCCTCCAGAAAGACCACCAACTGAAAGACATCACATGGTACAGAATCCTTCCCAGCTACATCATGAGATGGAGTTTGGGATGAAGCAGAGGCTTTTGCATCAGATTAGAGGATGGATTAGAAGATCTTTACCTCAAATTTACTCCTTAAGAAAATCACCAGGGCTGGGGATTTAGCTCAGTGGCATAAGTGCCAGCCTTGCAAGTGTGCAGTCGTGAGATTGATCCCCCCTGGTACCAAAAAAAAAAAAAAATCTCCCAATCTTGTCTGATATGGAGATTTGCTGTGTGATGGTGGCTTGCATTCCACCGGTTCTGTAAGAACTGATCTCTGAATTGGCCAGTGCAGTTAACCTTGCGCATGCACACCCAAGCAGGGAGACTCAGACACTCAAAGCAACACAAAGAAGACCACTTAACTGGGCTGGGGATTTAGCTCAGCGGCATAAGTGCCTGCCTTGCAAGCAGGCAGTCGTGAGTTCGATCCCTGGTACCCATAAAAACAAAACACACACACACACACAAAAAAAAAAGACCATGCTTTTTACCTGTCCGTGGCTGGCATTTTAGAAACTTATAGAGGAAAGCTTTCACAGCATTTTCTGAAGGACCTTCTGATGTCTCTTCCTTACCCTTTCCTCTCCTTTCTTACTGCCTGTTGTAAAAGAAAAAGCTGACGTTGCTGTTGAGAGTCTCATACCAGGACTGGAACCCCCAGTTGCTCAGCGCCTCCCATCTCAGACGGAGTCTGTGACCTCGAACCGCACAGGTCAGTCAGGTGTCTGTGTCGCTAAAGGGACTGGTCACTGTGATCAGAGCCAGTTTTTCCACCTGTGGCAGATGATATTTTGCAGTCTTCTTAGTTCCTCCTGGAATGGATGCATGAAGTTCTTACAGCTCTGGTTGTTAGATGCTGAGTATACATTTCCTTTGAGTATTTTTTGAAGCCATGTTCTTTTTAGAGTGACCAGAGAACTTCTTTGTTCAGGATTTTCTCTGGTGGTAGATTCCCCTCACCTACTGATGAAGGACTCTGCTGAGCTGTGAGGCTGCTTTGACTCCCCTAGGTTGCTGAGCAGGCTTTCTTACCTAACAGTTTCAGTGTTACCTGCCTCGTATTGACATTCTTTTCCGAACACAATACTTTAATCATTTAGAGGTGATTTGCCCTTAGACTGTAGGCAAAGCTGAAATCTTCCTTTGGTCCAATGTTGCCTTCACCTTAATTTCAAAATTCAATCTTAGAGTTCTTTAACTGTCCATTGAATAGCTTCATTTTTATTGAGTCCATAATTACTTTAATAAAAGTGTCTGCTTATCTGACTTGGAATAGTAATAGAGGTCCAAGAAATGTGAGTGTAAATTCATCAAAGTGAAAAACTTTTCCCCAAAAGACAATATGGTTCCTTTTCCTCATCCTCACTTGGATGTTTTCTCCTAGAAAATCTAGGAAACAATCCCTGTTTAAAATGTGGCCTCCGAATATTGCCTTCCTGCTTTAAGTGAAAGATTATGTGTTCAAAGGAGAGGTTCAAATTTAATAAGTACTAGAAATAGGCATATTTAATGGAAATCTGGTAGGTTTTTAGAGAATACTGTTTAGTCTCTTCATATTCTACTAGTAACAACACTCCTAAATCAAGTTTCAATACCTTATCATATAGTAACTTTCTTACTGAGTGTTTTGGGGAAGTTTAAGTGAAACTCTCTAATTGCAAATTTCTTTTTCTCAAATTGCATTTGCTAGGAACTAAATTGTTATAAAGTTTTACTGCCATACAAATCCCAGGCTTGTCTAAGAATTAACTTCTGAGTTTAAAATTCTCTATATTTATATGTTAATGTTAAGAGGAGTATAGAAAAATGTGAATGAAAACCCAGAGAGCTTAACATGTTTCTTCTGGTTTTTTTTCCTCCTGCTTTGGCTTATATACACAATCTGTATATGCAATGATTTGAAAGCTAAGATCTAATCTCTTGATGTTGTTGTATGTGCCATTTAATTCATCATTGACCTGGGATGCTGTTAAATGGACTCAGATTCTCTCACTGGGGAAGATTCCCTGCTTGACTGCTCTCTGCTTTCTAACCCTACTGCTGACCTTCTGGAAGAGTTTGTCCCTCTAGCAATCTCTGCTCCAGCCCATAAAGGTAAATTTTATGTCAGGCCTACATGTGTCCCTGCAGGAGAACAGCTGAATACTCCTGAGTGTTTCTCGTACCCAGTCTTTTTTAGTAGTGTTTCAACTAACCGCTTATATGGAAAACTTGAGTTTGTACTTTTAGCCACTGTGTTATAATACTGCTCAAAATGTTTAATAAGCCTCAGATAACAAATTGGTGAAGGTACCCCCTTCTGGCAAGCACGGCGGTGCAGCTGTTGCGTGTTACTCCTGAGAGCCGTGTGCCTTCACAATCGGCCAAGTAGACAGTTGACTAACCACTAAGTATTAGTAAGTCTGTGCTCTGAACTTGTGAAAGTTTTTAATTTTACTTCATCTTTAAATCATGATTAGTAACTGAGTTTCTCTTTCTAATCTAGTAATTGGGTTTCACTTCTTAGTCTTAGATTAATATTGGTTTGAAATTCTTTTATTTATTTATTTATTTTAAAGGGAATAAAACAAAACAGTAAAATGGGACAATACAAAACAGACCAATATTGCATTTCAAAAACAAGACAGAAGGAAATCACCTGCAGTTGCTGTATTGCATATTGTTACCCTCCAAATAGATGCTTAGACTACCAGCTTTAGACCTGCACAGTCACTTAAACAATACAAGTATTAAGTTTTTTTTTAACTTCAGTTGTTGTCATCTCATCTGTAGTCCCCTGAATAAACCAGTTGCTGACAAGGGGTGGGGCGGTGTACTCCTTGTCTCCTGGCCCACATGCCGGCTGCATCACAGGAGGGCGGGTTGGCTTCTTGCTTCTCCTCCCAGCCCATGACTGCTGCTAACTCTGGTTTGAAATTCTGTTGGACGAAGGTAACTTTAATTGAGTGAAGTCAGTAAGAATTTTGTGGCAGTGATAGGCACAGTGCCTGGCCTTCTGTGTGCATAGGCATTTATTAAACTTATTTCTGTGCTTGGGCAGTCAAAGTCCTCTTCTGGAAGGAGAAAATGTATAGAAATGAACAAGCTGAAGCATTTTTGAAGGAAATTCAAGGAGACTTCCCAGATAGGACTAAGAGTAATTAAGTCATGGTTTCTAGTGGTAATAGCTGAGTTTTTGTTTTTTACCTTTCAATTAAAATATTTGTTTTTAAACAGATTGTTTAAAAGAAGTAATCTAAACAGTTATATCTGGTAGTAGTGTGCCAGCAGCAGTGTGTAATCAAACAGAATCTTCACTTGCAAACTAGGTGTTCAGTTAGCACTTGCTGGTAGCTTTAATTGGAATGGAGAAAATAGTATAATAATTTTCTGCCAGAGGACCCAGTGTCTGGGTTCTTGTATCCCAACATTCCCTGAGGCCTCTTAAGGTGTTTGGAAGTTTTTTTTTTTTTTTTCTACCTATGGGATAATGATTCCTTTCCATAAGTATCTTGTTTTCCTTGTGTACGGTGTTGGAAGTTTTGAGGTTTTGTGCTGTTATGGTTGTTGTTTTAGCTGAGCTGAACCCAGGGACTCGTGCACGCCAAGCACACGCTTTATTGAGCTATACCCCCGCCCTTTTGGTGGTATTTCTTAAAGATCTATTAGTTCTCCTCCTTTGTCTCACCCCTGCTTTTGAGTAGGCTTCTGTTCACTCAATAAAGAAGATAAATAACTAATTCTTTGTCAATTAATGACATCGAAGAGATACTTTACAATAACTACAGATAATGCTCATGTAAAGAGTAGACAGAATTCTTTCAATAATCTTCCTAATTATTTATGTCTTAAAATGCCTTAACTCCAAGGCATTTTTTTCTGTATCTCTATTTTTCCAGTTTTGCTGTTTTATTTCAACTCAGAGAAATAAGTAGTTTCACCTTAAAGAAGATTAGAGATTGTATTCAATTGGGAACTTTGTCCTTCTTTCCTGTTTTCTCATTTGCTAATCTCTGCCTCTGTTTCTGCTTGTGTGTGTGCATTTGTATAAAGCTGCAGAAGATAGTAATCTCATCTCAGGTTTTGATGTCCCTGAGGGCTCGGAAAAGGTGACAGAAGATGAGTTTGACCCTATTCCTGTATTGATAACCAAAAACCCACAAGGTAAGAAAGAACTCGGGGGGAAAAAAAAGAGTTTGATAGATATCAGCTCTTTTAAATAGTAATATTCCTAATCTGCAAGGTGAAGTAAGGGGGGAATTTAACATTTAATGAAGAATGTTGGGGACAGTTTCAGTCATCATTGGCTAGATGGGTATAGATACAGACGGAGATGCTGGTACAGTTATCTTAAAGCCTGCTGTTGGAATTTATTTAGAAAGAAATATTTAGTTTGCCTAAAAGATGCTGTTTACAAAGTATCAAGCCAAAAATAAAGTGATCTACAGTCTGAAAACCCAAAAATATATATCAAAAGCATTTAACGTATTTTTAATCATGATTGGACCAATCTGTGAAAAATACTTTTCCCAAAGAGATTAAGTGGTGCCTTGGTATCAGCCACATCTTCTAGACATTGATAAAACATCTTTTTTCCTCTCTGAAAAGTTAAAATCATTTGAATATACCATAAAACAATAAATTCCCAAAGAATCACTTATTGAAAATATGTTCTTATTGCAGTCTTACTAATTTCTCTTTAAAGTAAAAACGTACTTTAGGGGTGGGGGATTTAGCTCAGGGGTATAAGTGCCAGCCTGGCAAACGTGAGGTCATGAGTTTGATCCCCAGTACCAAAATACCAAAAACTTACTTTACTTGGGAGATGGCTTGATGTTAACAAGAAGCTAGTGCACAGCTAGCAGGCAAAATATGTATTGGTTTGAAAACAGCATCATCCAAAAAAAAAAAAAATCATCATCTTTGTAAGATGTCCTGCCCATACTGTGGTGCCCTCAGAGTGCCTGTACTTTTATGGTGGGAGGTGGCGGGTAGCTAGTTTACATATTAAAAATTAACACGTACAAGATTGCAAATGTAAAATGTTGCTTCTCTAGGTTTCTTTTTTTTTTCTTTCTTTCTTTCTTCCTCTTCTTTTTCTCCTTTGCTTGCTCTGCACATCAAAACCTTAACGCTGTGTTTTGTACTGAATTCCTATCTCTCCACTTCCAGGTGGGCACTCTAGAAACAGCAGTGGGAGCTCTGAGTCCAGTCTTCCCAACCTAGCCAGGTCTTTGCTGCTGGTGGATCAGCTCATAGACCTGTAGCCGTGACCCAGTAGCAGATGCAGTTCTGTAACCTTCATACCGTAATACACATTTTCATTACGGAATTCTGAGAAAAATGATTTTTTTAAAAAAAGTCTGCAAATAAGGGGCCCTCCAGCCCTTTTCTCTTAACCCCTTGCCTTCTCCTATAGAAATGATAAGGAAAGAAAAAAAATCACTTTGGCCCTCCAGATATACTCCTTGGCCAGTTCCTCCGTGTTAGTTTGCTGTGTTTTCTCATTGCCCTTCTTCAGTAGCATTATCTTGAATCAAGCACTAGATGCCATGAGCTTTACCTCTGCTAGAACTGACTCCACCAAAAGCTTAACTGTAACTGAACCTAGTGAACTGACACCTTTGTCTCATTCTTGCTAGGAATGGCCTCCCAAATCAATCCTCCCAGCCTCTGTCTTCTTGGCCAGATGCTGATGAATGTGTTTCCCTGTTTTTGCTTTTTATCCTGATACATTATCCTGAGGACAAGGCTACTTCTGCGTGTTTTAAGTCCAGGCAGTATCCTGGAGATAGGTGTGGGGTTTCAGAGAGGATAAAACTGACTGATAGTATGTATTTGAGAAGAGAAACTGAACCCAGCTCTAGTCAACCAACTTTGACCTTGTTTGACCATAGACTTAGCCAAGGGATTTACACCCCATGCAACCTGCCCAGCATTCGTCCAGCTTTCTGGCTTCCATTGAATCGCGATTTCTCAGATCTGGAGACGTGACTGCAAGTACTTGAGATCCTTGGATAAAATGTATATGTTATATAAATCCCAAGTATTGCCATTCCTTTTCATGTTACCTGGCCCAAGCCAGGCTCTTGGAATTAGACCAAAATAAGACAGTGGTGGTAATATGGTACCTTTTAATAGAAGACTTTTCACTGGGGGGTGGCTGGGGGAGGGGAAGGAATTGTAGCAGAAACAGATGTATTTTTCTTGTGATTTTTATTTTGAATCAAATATTGTAAATTGTGTATAAATGAAGACACTGAATAGTTCTGTTTCACTTGGAGTTTCAAGTCTGATACCAGGTGTCTGTACAGGGTTTTGATCTCTTTCCCTTGTAAAATCATGCAGCTATCCTACAGTGTAAAATACGGAATTATTTTGAGTAGATTGTGTGTCTTGATATAAGCTCTCAGCAGGTCCTCTGTCTCTGTAGAATAAGCATGTTGTTTATTTCCAGATAATCAGAAAAAGTGTGCTGAAAAGCTGGACACAAATTGACTGCGGCTGCTTACTTTTTTCTCTGATGTTTAAGTTGAAGGCTGCAGTCAATAGAATGTGTTCAGCTGGTTTTCCTTGGCTTTCCTAGATTTTACAAAGCCAAACAAAGCATAGTTCTTCACTAACCTTACACTGTTGTTCATAAAGTAAATAAAGGTCCCTGCACTGACATGACAACATGCCTCATGGTCACCCTCTGTGTATGTACTTATCAAAGTGTATTTTATTTCTTTACCTGGAAAGCACTTTTATAAAATCATCCTTTTGAGAAAGAAGTGGGCACAGAGAACCCCTTTGTTCTCTGCCTCGAGTGCCATTGTCTGTGATCAAAAGGGACAGTCTAGGTTGATCGGGTTTGTACAAATAAAATTCCAAGTCCATGTGCTTGTTTTCTATCTAGTACTTTTGTTTTTTCTTCTTCCTCACGTTTGCACTTTAAGGGTGGGAAAAAAAGAAAGTTTGACAGCAGAAAGATCCTACAAACGCTGCAGTGTGAGAGCAGCCGTGTAAGGCACTGGCGGAAAAGTCTGAACCTTTCAATCTTCCTTCTGACTTTCTAGCCTTCCTGTGCCAGCTAAGACTTGATGAGGCAAGCCCTCTGCTAGGAGAACAGTCCATTCCCAAAACTGAGAGAGGCGCAAGCTTCCTGCTGAGGAGAGAAAATATGTCCGTGCAAAGCTCTGTGTGATTGGGTAGCGATGGGAGTAGGATTTGCTTCACTTCTTTATGGACAGAAAACTTGCTGCAGGTCAGAGCTGTATTCTCCTTACTAGACATAGAATGTATAAATAAATGAAAGAAATGTTTATTTTTAAAGAAGGATGTCTTAGTTCAGTGCTTTTCTGTTTGATTTTTCTTCATACATATGTTAGAAATATAATGAAATATCTAGTTTCTTAATTTAATTAAAACCATGAAGAGGACAGTTTAGAAATTAGGTGTCTAAATTGTTCCTTTCATGTATTATCTATAATTACATTGAGCTATCTTACCTAGTCATTCAGCTCAGTAAAGTTTACTGGAGACGGTTAATGAACCAACTATGGCAGAGACAATGGCAGAAGCAATGACAGGAAAACGCCTCAGGCTTATTCTTAATAGGAGTGCAGCACCAGTTTAGGAATATAGGTCAGTGGCACAGCGCCTGCCTGGCAAGCGCAAGACCCTGAGTTCAATTCCCAGTACCCCTCCCCGCAAATTATATGTTAGGGGCCAGGGATATGTATAGCTCAGTGGTACAGCCCCTGCCTGGCAGTCATGAGGTCATGAGTTCAATCTGTGGTACAAAAGTAATTCATTAATTTTTAAAAATTCATTAAAAAGCCAGGCATGGTGGCACATGCCTGTAAGCCCAGCATTTGGGAGGCTGAGACAGGAGGATCTTTGCAAGTTTGAGGTCAGCCTGGGCTACAATGTGAGTGCTCAGTGCCAGCCTAAACTGCATAGCAAGACCCTGTCCCAAAAAGACCAAAAAAAAAAAAAAAAAGGAGTACAGTCTCCAGGGTAGAACTATTTTTTTTTTGAGGAATATATGCGAGTGATTTGGTAAGCAGGGCTTTCTTTCCTTTATAGCCATCATCCCTGAGCTAAAAAGGCCTTATTGATATGTGTGAGAGCAATGGTAGACCACTGACCGAGGACCCTCAGAGACCATCTGCTCGTCTGAGGCCGTCATTTTACAGGTGCGGCACTCGAGCTAGATTAAATCGGGGTGATGAGAGACGAACCCCGGGCGCCTGGTAGCTAGTCCTGACCCTGCCAGACGGTGTGACTTCAGCAGGCACTTCACCGCTGGGAGCTGCTGTTACGTCTACAGCAGTAGATGTGGACTGATGGCCTTTAAGATTATAGAAGCTTAGTCCTACACTGATATCACTATGTTTAGAGGAACTATGAAGGATTTACATAATTCTGATGTTCTTCAGGTGTCTTCTGTACTCCTGCTGTTACTGTAGCAGCATTTGTGTGTTGGTGAATTATAACAGGCATCTTACTCACCTGGTTAGTCTTTCTTAGTTATGTGACTAGAAGCCAACATCATCTCAGAGTTTTGGATTACAGATTTTCCTCTTTTTATTTTTCTTTTTTAATATTATACATGCATGCACAGACACACACGTCTGCCTATCGATTCAAATAAAACTATCAGAAGATTTCTGTTCTTTCAAAATGTATGATCAGAAAAGGATGATTAGGGATCTGTAATTAAATATGAACAAGTACCATATGCATGTATTTTTTGTTTGCTTTTATCTCAAATGTGTAAGAGTAATAACTATACCAGAAAACATCTTTCTGCCTCACAGTATTTGAATAATGAGATTACCAAATTCAAATCCATTTTTGTTGTTGTTATTGTTGTTGTTGTTGTTGTTGTTGTTTTGAGACAGGGTTTCACTATGCAGTTCAGGCTGGCCTCAAACTCACTTTGTAGCCCAGGCTGGCCTCGAACTCACAGTGATCCTCCTGCTTCAGCCTCCCGAGTGCTGGGATTACAGTGTTTTAAAAAAACACTCCTCATTATAATTATTTCTATAGTAGACATATCAAAATGTTGATGTCAAGTTGAATGTTGTTCCATTCAAAAGCACCTGGTTTTACTTTGAAAGTTAATACTTATCCTGATAATACTGCTGTCATTGAAGTTGTTTTTGAAACTCCTGATT